ACACACACACACACACATTGTTAGGGGTTCCTGTTCCTGAGGGTCTGTAGATCCACTCAGAGAGGTGGTGAAGTTGAGGAGAAAGGAGCTCTGCTGAGGAGGTTTAGATTGTGACTGAGGAGGTGAAGGAGGAGAAGAGAAGGAGGACAGGGGACAAAAGAAGGTAGCAAGCAGGAGGAGTAAAAGAGCGAGAAAAGAGGAGCGAAAAAGAGTCGGATTGAGAAGGGGAGACAAGAGAGGAAGAGGAGGAGGAGGAGAAGTGGTTCTGGGAGAGACAAACTGAAGGTGGAAGAGAAGAGGAGGAGGACAGCGGAGCGTGAAGTTCCGAGAAGGAGAAGGGAGCCAGAAGAGAGGAGGTGTTTCAAAGGAGGAGAGAGGAATCAGGCAACCACACTGCAGACGCTGTGTGAGGAGGAGAAAAGAGAGGACAGCTAATGTGACTTTGGGGTCAAAACAAAGAGACCTGGAGGAAGAAGAGGAGAAGAAGAGGAGGAAGAGGAGCAACAAATGACTGTTTATTGACACTTGAACTGTGTTTGAGGAGCAGATCTAATCTTGATGATGGGCTGCTGTCTGTTTGTTTACTATCGGGTGAGTCCCAGAATGCCTTCCAACCAGTGGAGTAGTGCAGGTGTCTGAAGGAGTATGAAGGTGTATGAAGGAGTATGAAGGAGTATGAAGGTGTATGAAGGAGTATGAAGGTATATGAAGGAGTATGAAGGAGTATATCTGCTTATGTTTCAGTCAGAGTGTAACAGCCTCTAAATCCCCTCTGATGTGCATCATTCAGTAATATTCTGCTAACTGATCTTTTTCCTAGGATGGTGAAGACATGACACAGTGGGATGGAGTAAAGTTTAAGTAATACTTCACTGAAAATGCAGAATTAGGTCCGTCTGTGGGCCAGTTTTTATTGCTTAAACTGTCTGTGTCTAATGTTAGTTCATAATGATTCGTAACTGCCTGAAGTCAAACTGCAATAGTTCAGTGACAAAGTGCAAATACTAATAAATATTTAAATATGCAAGAGTAGTCTATATGTCAGAGTTTATGACACAGGGCGTTTGTCCTTTGCTTTAAAAAACAATGTGAGGCATAAATTAAAAGTATCTCTCTCTCTGTTCTCAACACCACACAGACAGAATCTGAGGGTTTACTAACACATGACAGGTCGATCACATACATGAGGACATAAACCCTGCAGAACCATTGTTTTCTTGTTGTACAATTGTATTTATTTATTAATATTTAGTTAAACTAGGACCCTACACAAAAACATTAATCTCTAAATGAGATGATTTATGCCAGATTCAGCTATTAGCTAATGTCCATCTGCAGTCTCTGGGCAGGTTCAAACAGAAATATCACCAGACACTAAAATCATTCATGTACATGTAACACCACTACATCGTCTCTGTCACACGAACTTCTGATCAATATCACTCAATAACAGTTTCATGTGCACTGACAGAGCTGAGTTGTGTGAGTTACTTCACAGTCTATGGTGCTACATGCAATGCTGCACCCATGAGTTCATGTTGAACTGTGTGTCTACACACTTTTTTATATTGGGGTACACTTTTCTTCATGTGGATGTTCTTCTTCATTCACCATGTTGAACCACCATGTTTTTACAGGAGCCCAGAAGGGGCTCTAGATAATTTGTGTTTCATTGGCCACTGTAGTTTCTGGGTGAAGCGATGGAATTGCAATCTGCAACTACACAGCTAGATGCCACTAAATCCTTTACATTGGACCTTTAAATGATCAGCATACTACTGAATAAAAAATAACTGACCAGGGCTAGTAAATGTTGTAACAGCGGGATATTTGATATGACTGTACAGAGGTTTGGACTCGAGTCAGACTCAAGATTTTATGACTCAAATAGACAAAATCCAAAAAGCTTGTCTTTTCCCAAGACCAGAGTATGTTATTTAAAAAGTGTGCCACGGATCAGTTAACTCCCATTAATTTCCTAAAACAACCAACGTTAACTCTTTTAATTCCCCAGATCGGTGTGTTTGAACCGACCCGACACTAGCCAATCAGGTTACACGTTACATTACTGACTTTGACTTTGTTTAGGACTCGAAACTTTTGACTTGACTTTGGATTTGAGACGTACTTGTGACTTGCAAAACAGTTGCAGCAGCAGCAGACTCCAGGAAGTCCTTTCAGTCAGGTAATAGGTAGCTGTGATGTTCAGAGGACAGTCCTTATATGGACATGGATGATCAGACTCCTCCCCCTCTATGGTTTCTATGGCGACGGTGAGTTAAAGGTAAAGTCTGCCAAGTTATATAACGTCCGGCAAACAACAAAGTCTCAACACAATACTGAACAAACAGCAGACTTCCTGCTATTGTTACACTGATCCCAACATCCTTCTCCTCCTTCTCCTCCTTCTCCTCCTTCTCCTCCTGTCCCTTCTGTCCATGTCTCCTCCTCTTATCTCTTTAAACCTCCCCTTTCTTCCTTTGTTCCTCTTCTCTCCTCTTCTCCTTTTCTTACCTTTCCCATCCTTCCTCTCTCCTTCTCTCCCCTTCTCCCTCCTTCTTTCCGGCCATTCCTATATGTGCACCCTTTGTCTCCTTTCTCCTCTTTCACCGCTCCTCCCCATCCATCTCTTCTACCTCCTTTTCTCTCATCCCTTCCTTATGTCCTTCCCTCGTCTCCTTTCCTAGTTTCCTTCTGTTATCCTCTTATCCCCTTTTTCTTTCATGCTCCTTCCTCTGTGCCTCCTCTCTCTCTCCTCCCTTAATCTCTCTTCTCCTCTCCTTCCTTCCTTTGCTCCTTTATCATCTCTTCCCACCTTTTCTCCACCTGTCTTCCTTTTCCTCCTTTCACTGTGACCACTCTTTTTTTCTTCATCCCCCCTTCCCCTCCCTCCTTCTTTTCCTCTCCTCCTTATTCAGGTCCTCACCTTATCTGACTTCACCCCTCCTCTCCTCCTCTCCCCTCCTTTTCTTCCAACATCACTTTAAACCTCTCCTGTCTTACTTTGTTCCTTTCCTCTCCTCCCCTGTTTTCCTCTCTCCCTTCCTCTTTCCTCAACTCCTTTTCTCCTCTGGTCCTCCTTTTCCTCATTTTGAGTCATGTTTTTCTCCTCTCCCCTCCTTTTTGAACCTCTCCTCACCTTCTCACCTCCCTTCCTCCTTTACTCCTCTTGGTTAAAGGTCATCTACCCTCCTTCAGTCATGCTCCTTCCTCTTCACCTCCCTCCCCCTCCTCCCCCTCCTCTTCCACCTCCTCTCACACATACAGCTGTTTGCCCTCAGTGACCCGGCTCATCAGGTGTTTGTTCGATTTCTTCCTGTTTTTGTCACCATGGCAGCAAACAGGAACTGTTCGGCGCAATCTCAAGTACAACTGCACCTGTGCAGCTTTCCAACAGGTGAATGGAGGTTGCCATAGTTACCACAGAGGTCACCTGACCTAAAACTTCAGTGGTGGATCAGATTTTAGGGTTTTTATTGGCATATTTTAGCACAGTAACTTCTACAGTTCAGTAATTGGTAGAATAATTATTGAGAGGGTGTTTATGTAGGTCGCTGGTGGTGGAAAAATAATAATATTGGCAGCAGCATGCAGGAAGTTGATGATGATTTATGATGAAACAGCTTAATCAGGGTGAGGATTAGCTCCCTGTAGGGCACTTTATCATGTTTATCTACCATAGGGGCATCTGAGAGGGCACTTTTGCAGCATGTTTTCAAACATGGGGGATTGGGTTTAACCAAAGAGAGTCCTCAGGTGGTAAAGTTCATATATTACAACTCCCAAGAAAAAGATCCTGAAGATAATAGAAGATACAAAGTCAGTGAGACTCAGAAAGAAGAAAGTGGATTAATATTAAATCATTTACTCAAATGCTCAGCAACAGTTTTCTGGTTCTGTTACTTTTACTTTGACAGCCTATTTTTACTTTGTCCACTTTTATTCCATCACATTTATCTGATGGCTGCAGTTACTGAACCTGAGAAAGATCACGAAAGGTGATAAAATGTTAAAAATACCCTCCGTGCACACCAGTGCTCCTCTTCTGGGTGCCAGCTGGTGCAGAAACCAAAGTAAACCTGAACTAAAATATATTCCAGCTCACAAAAAAGGATTGGGAGAAACAAAACAAAAACAAAAATAATCATTCATTCACAGTGACTTTTGGACATGAAATAAAGAAAGAATTGTCTCAATGTGAACAATACTTTCTTTCTTTTCTACTCTCCTTCCTCTTATTCTTCCTTTTCCTTCTTCACTTAATCTGAGAGTATGAAACCGATATGATTTTCTTTTACCAGCAGGTGAAACAATGAGTACTTTTATTTAACATATCTGAGAATGTTTTACTGTTGATGAGCTGTACAAACTGTAACCAGAGCAATGAGCTAAAAGCTGTTTGGTGTTAATGGTCACTTTATCTCTGCAAACCGAAACGTTCACATTATATTTGAGTCATTGAATTATTTAACACTTGCTGTGTTTGTTGTGTGTTGCAGAAGAAGAGGAAGCAGGCCAGCAGAGATGCAGACTCCCTCAGTCTCTGCAGTCTGGACATCAACGTGAGTTCAGTCCCTTTCAAACTAACTTCTCTTTTAGTCTCTGCTCTTGTCTTAAAAGTGGTTTCAGAAAAAGAGAGCGGTTGAGTTTTACTTTGAGAAGACTTACAATAGTTCCTGATTCTGTGGTGGTGGCTGTATGTTCACACCTTTAAAACACGACCAAAATTAGACAAAAAGACCAACTGTCATGTTGCTGTTTCCTGTACAACACTTTAAAGAGTAACTTCACACTAAACCCAGTTAATACATCTGTGCTATCATTTTATTACATTTCTGGTCTATATTTAGTCAAAAGTTGCCCTGTGGGGTTTTCTTTCTGTACTGTGTGTTTCCTTGAAGGCTATCAAAAGTTTATTTTCACATAAAACATTTGCAAAGTGTATTTTTTAAAACATTTTTAAACCTGCATTGTTTACATCCATGTTTACTAGCTAACAGTCGTCTTCTTCACTGCCTTTGTCTTTGCATTGTGCAGTTTATTGGTGCTTTACTGCCACCTGTAGATCAGTGGGATCGTGTGAAACCATTGGCAGGGATATGTATATTGACAGATACGTGTATTTTAGTGTCGGCCTTTGAATTGTATGCATACAATGTTATATGTGGGTTAATGCGTTTTAATTTATGTATTATAGAAAATGTTAAAAAGTCCATAACGGCTTTTAGAATAGAATAAGTAGAATAATTATTGTTGACAAGGACAATTATTATTATTAATAATTATTATATTATATATATATATATATATATATATATATAGTATATTGTATATGGTATTTATTGTATATACCATATACAATATAAAAAGAAAGAACTTACTCATAATAATGCTGATACAACTCCTTCAAATCAGGGGCATTATTATTCACACAGTTTCATCCCAGTGACAAATAGGTTATAAAATGTGTCCCCATTTTCCCCCAAAAGTTCGATTTTTACTCATTTTAAATGAGACTCTTTGAACCACCCGGCACGAGAAGCTTTGCACAAAAACAGCAGGCTAACCAGCAGCTAATGGACTATAATCATAAACTGTGAATCTTTAACCTTCTCCAGCTCTGACTGTGGGTTATTGTATATTCGGACCCTCGGGGGTCCTCGGTCCTCGTGTTGGGCCCCTCCTCATGTACATGTCTGTATTTTTAGCCCTCTGCCAGCAGCCCGTTCCTTCCCGGGCGTTTCCCCTCCCTGCTCGGTCTAACACAGGATGTCCACCCTGTTCAATAAGCTGCAGTGTTTGTGTGACAAACAGACCCAAACTGACCATCAGTCATATTCTGTTACAAACCAGCGCCAACCTGGAATAAATGATACTCTATTGTTTCTCTACTGTTACTCCCTGTAGCTCAGTGAGTCACAGAAGGTCACTTCTGGAGAAGCGCAAGGTTAGGTTTTATTTTACTTAATAAAAATAATAATAATTTATTAGCAATGTCAGAAAAAGTTCCCTGGAAAGAACGATGTAATCTGGTGTTCATTATTAAGGCTGAGTGAGAGGATAAAAGGACGATAGGATATGTGAAATGTTTGATGATACGTTCGTAGTTTGTGAAAAGTAACATTTTTGCTTCACAATTTTCATTTTCACCGAAAGAAATGATTAAAATGATGATGATGTGACATTTGTTGGGAATCTGAACCAAACAAACATGTCCTGAGAAAAGCTTTATAAGCCAGAGCATCTCTTCAGCTATAATGGTGCTTGTCACACAGTTTAGCTTTGCATTGAAATTGCATTTTGATAGCGTTTTGATTAATTGTGCAGCCCTGCCCTCGTTTCCTGTCTTGGGTCTTACCTCGCCCATTATTGTGTATAGAATCCACCGTATATAATAATAATAATTATAACTGTATGTGTGTATGTTCACAATTCTATGTTGTCCATAAAGAAAATGGAAAAATAAGATTTTAAGCTTTTGTGTACTAATGTGGGTTGTTTATAACAAAAAGGTGAAAATTAGCAGAGCTACTAATTATATATATATTATTAAAATAACTAATACCTTAAGTTGGTTGTTTAGATTTTATAAGAAGTAGTTTATTTCCAGAGGAACTTTCTTTGAACAGTTAAGCCAAAGTAAATAGTCACTAATTATTCATTTGTTAAGGAAAACATCATTATTCTCTCAGTGGCCCCTTTATTAGGTACACCTGTACAATCTAATACAACTGCTTTGTCATAAAGTTTACTTTTTATGATGCCTATAAAATAGAGGTGTTAATTCAATCACATGTTTATAAGTGAGGTTGTAGTTAGTGGTGCTGGACTGCATTAAGTTCAGAGGTGTTTCTGATATTCCCGACAAAAATTAGAAACACTTCTCAGTATAATATAATCCAGCAATAACATCAGATTTAAATACAACCTCTAAAACATGTAATTCAATTAATATATTTACAAAAAGTTAAAACCAAACTGAACATTATAAAGTCAATTAAATACACTTTGTTATAAACTCTATGGCAAAGCTGTTGTATAGGCATACCTAATAAAGTGACCACTGAGTGCATGTTCAATTTTATTCAGTACACTGTAAACAAGTCTGGACAGCTTTGTATCTTGTCGCTCTTTGGATAAACACAGACAGGAAATGAATGTGGTTTCACAGTGATTCACTCCGTACTGGAAGCGTTTGCTTTCAAAGAAATCCATTCACAGCAGCTTCGGCTCCGACAGGGAAAACCCGTACTTAAGAAACATTTCACATTTTTGCACATTCAGCTGCCTTGCTGTGTATTAACTGTCTACAGTATATAGATTACAGATTTAAAGTTGGTGTAAATGTCAGATTCATTGTTGGAAATTTGTTCTGCAATAGGACCAAAAATGTGCATTATTATTATTAGTATTTTTTAAGATTCTGGCGGTTTTACAGTATATTTATTTATTCATTTATTTTGCATTGCTGGGCCTTTATGTAGGTTTATAGTGGCTTATTCTACTGGCAGGAGTACATCAAATATTAAAAATAATAAAATATGAAAACATTTTAATGTCAGTGTGTGCAGAATGTAAAAAAATTTTTACTGTGAAAACTGCAGCGTAGTAATAATAGAACTTTTATCATCCCTTTCAAAACAAAATATTTAAAAATAGATGTAAAGAGACACAGAAATACTAAAAAATACTGAGAAAGATATTTCTCAAATGTTCTATTGCACAAACAACTAACAAGTTACATTAAAGTAAGTAGTAAATTATAGGAAACTGTAAAACAGAGAGTTACCAAGTCAAACCTTACTGGTAAAATAAAGAGTTCAGTATCTAAAGGATGTAAATGAGATGGTTAAAGGAGTCGTGCTGTAATTTACAGCAGAGGCACCAGAGTGGTTATAGACGTTTTCACTGGTTAATTAATATCTACTGAGACCCTCAGGGTCACTTGGTAGATCAACAGTTATTGATGTGGTTTAGAAAACTCTGCCCTTGATTAGTTAAGCTCATCGAGATGTGTCTTCTTCTGGTATCTATACCATAGCTAATAATATGCCTTCAGAATAATAAGCAGGATTTTCTTTTATTTTCTTAGAGAATAATGTGATTTAGTATTTTAATAATACTCATTTACACCCTTTATTTTAAATGATCTAGGGTTTTTATGCTCATAATAATGAGATACTTAATAATTAGAATTAGAAGTTAAAATGTTTATTATCTTATAATTACAATTACAATATATTCATAATTATGAGATAATAAGTCTGAATTATGACAATACAAACTTTTGTAAGTTGCAGCTTCTATAAAATTTAACCATCAAATGAAGTCAAGCAACTAGAGTGAGAAATACAATATTTTATATTGTTGTTTGTGAGGTTATGAGAAAATGTTTTCCGTCATAACTTTCCTTTAATCTAATTTTGTATATATACATATAGTGAATTGTATGTTATTGTAAGCTGAGTCTATTGTTACATCACTATTCTTTATCCATCATCTCTTCCAAATTTTGTGTTTTTCCTCAGTTTATTTAACTCAGTTTAGTTAAGTTTGCAGAATAAACTAGCAAGACAAGGTGCTTTTAATGGAAGTCAGTTTCTCTTTAACATGTTGATTGAAATAGTGTGCAGACTCAGAGAGACTTGGTTTCCAGTTTAGCAGTTTAAAGGAAATTCTGGTATTTTTCAGTTTCCATTCTGACTCTTTTCACTCGCCACCTCGATTGCTGAGGTATCATATATCAGGGCAAACAGCACAAGCCTTAAATCTTTCAGAGTAGCTTTACAAAGTTCATGTAGTGGGGATTAGTTATTGTCTTAAACTATGAAGGGATCTACTTCTGGAGAAAACAGTGAGCTAATAAAACTAGTTCATCAGCAGCAATAACAACAACAAGATTTATTACTTATTGTTTAATATTATATATTTTATTACATGTTTCATGTGTTGATCCTTAAATATCTTAAGTATATATGATTGGTTTATTACCCATTTGGGAAAATTAAAGAATAAAAACATGTCAAACTGTTCACATCCGTTCATATTTGACCCCACTGCTAAATTTAAAAGCGTCTCTCAACAACATACACAGTTGCGTCACAGTACAGATGAAATGAGGCGAGTTCGTCTGAGTCAGGAGACGCAGCTGATTCTGTTCTTGGATGAGAGAGTGACTCTTTCACTGTAAGCGCCCACAACCCAACTGTCCCTTTTCCCAGACAATGGAGCTGAGTCAGAAGGGCAGCTTTTGTTAGCTGAACATGAGGTCTGCTTCATGTCATGTCAGAGGTCAGCGACGATGCTCTGACTCCGATGCCAGTCACAGATTTCAAAGGAAACCATGGTAACGTTTCTAAAAATGACACAATAATCAATGTTGTTCTGGTGCTTCATTACCTACAGCTGATCCTGGGTGTGTGTGTGTGTGTGTGTGTGTGTGTGTGTGACATTACACTGATTTACACTCATTGCCTTAATCTTAACCATGCAGATAATGATTATTTCCATTATCGATTGATCTTCCAATTCTGTTTTTGATTGATTAATTAATCGTTTGGTC